CCAAAGAGGTGGAACAGAGAAAGCACTGGGTTGAACACTTCAAAAGACTTCTAAATCGTCCGCCACCTACAACACGTCCAGCAATACCAACAACGGAAGCAGAACTACCAGTGAACACTGACCCCCCGACGAAATCAGAAGTCCTGAATGCAATCAAGATGCTAAAAGCTGGGAAAACACCGGGACCAGATGGAATCCCAGCAGAGGCTTTGAAAATAGACCCAGAGACAACAGCGGACTTGATGACACCACTACTGGAGAAGGTGTGGAAAGAGGGCAAAGTACCCGAGGATTGGAAGAAAGGATACTTATTCAAACTTCCAAAGAAAGGAGACTTAAGTCAATGTAAAAACTGGCGTGGAATTATGCTTCTGTCCATTCCAAGCAAGATACTAAGTCGCATCATCCTGGAGAGAATCAAACAAGCCCTAGATGAAAAACTTCGTCCGGAACAGGCTGGATTCAGGAGAAACAAATCATGTATTGATCAAATCGCCACTCTACGGATCATCATTGAACAAAGCTTGGAATGGCAGTCACCTCTCTATCTCAACTTCATCGACTTTGAAAAGGCCTTCGACAGCGTCGATCGAGAGGTCATTTGGAAACTACTTCGCTACTACGGGGTCCCATCGACAATTATACATCTCATCCAACAGTTATACGACAATGCTGCATGCCAAGTAATCCACAACGGGAAACTTACGGAAGCCTTCGAAGTGAGGACGGGAGTGAGGCAAGGCTGTCTACTATCACCAATGATCTTCCTGATTGCAATTGATTGGATAATGCGACAGACAACGGGACCAACGAGGGAACAGGCATAAAATGGACTCACACAAAAGACTTGGAGGATCTGGATTTCGCCGATGATATATGTCTGATTTCCCATAAACTGGAAGATATGCAAGTGAAAAGTAACAAGTTGGCAGAAGAAGCATCAAAGATAGGACTTCACGTGAACATAGATAAAACAGAGGTGATGAAGATTCCTAGCCAACATCAACAGCAACAACAGCAACAGACAACAATCAGCATAAATGGGAAGAACCTGAAAGAAACAACCTCCTTCACCTACCTGGGAAGCATCGTCTCAACTACAGGCGGAACTGACGAGGATATCAAAGCCAGAATCGGAAAAGCAAGACAAGCTTTCATTACTCTCAAATCTGTGTGGAGGTCAACAGCACTCAGCATCAAAAATAAGATCCGGATTTTCAACTCCAATGTGAAGTCAGTGCTACTATACGGATCAGAGACTTGGTGAGTCATAAAGAGCATCTCAAACAAACTTCAAACCTTCATTAACAGCTGTCTCCGCTCAATACTCAAGATCAGATGGCCGGCCAGAAAAGATCAGCAACAGGGATCTCTGGGAGCGAACCAATCAGGAACCGATTGTGAAACAAATAGGCAGGAAGAAATGGAGATGGATTGGCCATACGCTGAGGAAACCATCAAGTGACATCACTAGACAAGCCATCTCGAGTGGAACCCGAAAGGGAGGCGGCGAGTTGGTCGTCCAAGGGTGACTTGGAGGAGGTCATGCGAGGAGGAGATGAAAGCATGTGGACAGACCTGGAGCAGAGTGAAAAAGTTGTCAGAAAAACGAAGTCAATGGAGGTGCGCAGCTGAAGCCCTATGTTCCTCTAGGAACTAAAGGATACAATAATAATAATAATATTGCTGACCTAGTATGCACAAATCCCAAAAATAATTGAATTGACAAATTAAAAAAGTAGATTAGTTAAAACATATATTTATCTATATGTACTAATTAAGGACACATTAAAGTTTTAGAAATTGTAGTTAAATTTTATTCGCCTAGTAATCAAAAATGCATACATCCTATTTTGAACTTAAAATAAATGCATCGAAATTATTGTTGGTTTATATTCAGTTACTAGACATTCTCATACATATTAATGTACTTTAAACACCACCAATGCATCCAAATAACGTGTGACTGTCACACTACACTCATACCAAAAAAATTAACACGCCATTATATAATGGTAAGGTATGCCTTAAATCATACTGACTGTAAATTTCCGTGTCAAAATAAAAAGATTACCGCTTTAACTTATATTTTAGACCGATAGGAAGCCAGCTAACCAACAGCCAATCAAAATCTGCCTATATCTATTTTCAATATGTTGTTGTCAAAACTAACTGAGATTACCCTTAATCTATGTAGAATTTTATTCACTGATAATGTACTAACTGGATGCAACGGTGTAGTAAAATGCTGAGAATTTGATTCTGTACCACAAGTACTGTTTTGGAATAAAGCAAATTATTATTATTAAGTTAGCGAGGATTCACGGATCAATTTTACTGTGATGGCTTTACGTGCAGACCACCTCCACGTCCGTTTACAATTTGTCATGAATTATCAATCATGTTTTTTTAATTTTTCCGTCTATATGGAATTCTTTACCTACATTCTCGCCATCAGACCATACTTCTTCCAAGAAACTTCACCACACACTGTGAAGAAACCTGTGACGCTTAAAAAGACCCACATGCCACAATAGGTTAAACATTAAGCTGCTGGAAACATCTTTTGAGCTGAAAGTGTTGCATAATATTAAGAAATGAAAAAACTATTCTGCTTTTATGACTTCACCGAATGACCAACGGGAGTTAGGTCAAACTCCATTCACGGCAGCAATACAGTCCAAAACATACTGCATACTACAAACCACATCTTGACCAATCCCCGCACCACTCCTCTTGGAGCCTACCAGAGCTAATGGGCAGCCTGTCGACGGACGCAATTTTGAGTGACCGCGAATGAGATAAACAAGCGATTCGCTCGCTTCTGATTGGCCAGTTTGTCATTCGAGTTGAGGTAATTTCAAACATCATTTTGCTGCTTGGTTAAGTCCTGAATTTCCGTGAGCGTTTTATCAAATTGGAGAGATAACTGACAACACAAATGATTACACCTCAGGAAAGAAATGATATAGCAGTGGATTTATTTGCTGAATTCAACGAATTCATGCCAAATTACGATCTAAGGACTTCTCAGGAGTATCAAGAATGCAAACAATGTCCTGAAGAGGTGATAACTTCACGCAACTTCAATTATCGCTTGACCATTATTTTCAGAGATCCTTAAATAAGTATAATATACACAGTGGTCTGGCTAATCATGATAAAAATGGCATGGTTGATGCAGCATATACGTATACTTTTGCATATGTAGGTAAACCTAGATGAACTGTGTTCTTGTCACGAAGATCGGAAAGCAGGTACCAGATGTCTCAGTAAGCAGTGTAATACATGTAAGTTACATGTTTTTATTTGACATAAACTGGATCTCCACTCACTTTTAGAATTAGTCTTGAATTCAGTTGGAATAAGCTTGTTGAGCACATCAGTATTGAGAGAATACAGTGAAAGTAAGTAAACACATGCTTCTTAAGATTAAATGATACATTTATTTGATATGATTGTATTATTGTTAGTTGTCTATCTAAGTTAATGTTGAATTCGTTGCGATAATAATACCTATTATTGTTTTTATAGTCACTATGATCATGAATGTTATTATTATTGCTGTCAAGACCTATTATTTGTCATAAAATTGTCATTTTTGCTAAAATATTTGTACAAGCTTTGGAAACTACTGCATATTTTGTCGTTAAATAATTTTATCATTTCATGATGCTTCGATGGACCTACTAGATATTGACAAACGATAAGTTGCGAAGTCCCTTAAGTTTAGTGAAAACTATTGGGCTACTTATACATATATTGCTTGTAAAGTGATTATTTGTAAATGCTTATCAGGAAAATTTTTTATTCAGATCATACATGTAATACCCAAGTTAATTATGCTTTTCTTAGACCTTTCCAGACTTATGAAAAAACATATGTGCCGTGTACGCAGATGGAACTTACTGACGGTAACAGAGGACTACTCATCTGAATTATCTGTACATTTGAAATCTGATTTTTGTTTAATAAGCAATTTTTCAATGAATCTGTCTTCCTTCTGTTGTAATGCGGTTGTGTTCCAGTAACATAAGTAGCACGTGCTAAGTTAGAAGTTGAGGGTAAACTGTTAGGAGTAAATACGGCGTCTGGAAAACTTTTGTTTACGTGATTATATGAGCAGATAGCAACGCATCGTGTTCTTTGGCTGAGGACCCTAGGCATTCTGTTTTTAATTATTACGATAACCGTAGTTGCACTGAGTCATACATCTAACAGCATAGGTATAGTCTCTCCTTATGGTATACTGCGGCATGCAGAAATCACAAGCAAACTATCTCAGGTAGATTTACTCTTACTTTGTGACTATGAATCGCGAATCAGTATATGTATTCTGCTAAGACGACAGATAACTCGAAACGCTTTATAATCGCAATACCTCCTCTACGACTTAGACATATTTACTTTATTTGACTACAACATAATCTTTTACCAATAAGCTTCTCAGAATATCTGCTCCTACTTAGTATTTCAAAGATAGCCTCATATACTCTATACCTCACAAATTACGCAAGGGCTAATATTCGGTCTTATCAAGTAGAATAAACAAACGAGTAACAAGGGATACATTTATTAATGAATTAACATGTAATACAAAATCGACAACAGTGCAGGCGTCTTTTTCTTTACCACCGAAATCCATGAAATTCCCGAAAGTAGATATTATCTGAAAAAGAAGATAAGAATTATACAGATGTAGATATTGTTACCAGTGTAAACACAATAATTAACCATTAAATATGCTTAAAATGACAATATAATGATTTCAACTGTATATAATTATGTTAGTCAACATTTTTCAATAATGCAAAGTTGATATTCCATCTGCCTGCTAACATCAACTTTATGCCATCAAATAAGGAAATACTATGCATATATAATTTTTATGTATTTTTGCAGATTTTTTTTAAAGGAATACATGTGGAGCAGCCTTGTCAGCATATAGCCAAAGTACGCAACAAAGTAAGTGAAATAATTACCAAAACGAGCTGTCCCACCTCATCATGTCCATGTGTAATCCATTAAACTGCAAAATAAATTCATAAAAAGTCTTTATAACATATTTCTTCAAGTAATTAGACATTTTCTGAACGGAAAAATACGTTATTTTCAAGAAACTGTAAACTGCCTGTGACCTACGTCCGGATAAGAACACCACCATATGCTCTTTCTGCTAAATAGGCCGCATTTCATCCACTTTTAGCAGGAATATAGGTAGAAAAGTGTGAAAAACAACGAAAAATGACCTGACCTTGACGTTTTTCCAATAAATAACGCCAATATCCATCAGCTGATCAAATGACCTACGTCCGTCTACAGGCTGCCGAGCTAATGCAGTCGAGTGGTGGGACTTACTACTCAGAAGTTCACCGAAGATCTGGGATCTCTACCTCACAATCAAGAAGCGAGCTCAAAGAAATCCCTGGTTTATATTAGCTCGTAATCAGGATATTGGATATTGGATTGGATGTTGAAAGGGAGGGATGCTCAATTTAACAAGGCCGTTTTCCATCCTGCCTGTAGTATATGCGTGAGATGGATTAGCCTTGAGTAATCCATGGTTGATGAAGTTGGTGAACGTATTATCACTGTTAATCTAGGCAAGGTAAGACAATATGTTTGCTGAAAATGTTTGATTTTTTTTCACCCACTGTTCGAAAATCACCCAACCGGTGACATGATTTTTTATGTCGACTTTGGACTCACCGAAGAGTTTAATTCTCGCAGTTACCGCAGATTTGTACAGTCGGAGTCGGTATGAACGGCAATCACTGTCGTATTGAGTGTGTTGGCACAGTTGTATTGTCTTCGTATAATCAAAGGCGTCAAATTGGCGTCCTTATTATGATAAGATAGACAAATAGGGGAATAGGGTCTTAGTCCTCCCGTATAATTATTCCATCTTTTCTTATATCTATGGTTTTACAACATAGAATTTCAAAACGCAAACCAGTTATAGCTAACCAGTTGGTATGACCCAGCTAGCATTATTTTCGGGCACACAGACTAACGTGAGACTAGGACCCTAAGTAATTATAATTACTTTGCATTCATTCAACCAATATAAATGACTCATAAATACAGGTAAGTGTGCTTCCTCGCCGCTGTTGTTGACGTTCAGCCAGTATTTTACCCTAGTCTTACTGGAATTACCCCATTCCTAAATCTCTTGATGTTACTATATCCTACATCATTAATTGTTGAGGTAGCTAGAAAGAATAGATAATACACCGCAGAAATATGACACAGCTTCTAATTGGTGTCCATATTTGACAGAACGAATTAGATTGTGTACGTCAATTCATTGTGAAGAGTTATCAGTTATTGTGATTGGTACGCTGAATGTCGTTTGTCTGCGGTATCTACTCTTCATATTTGTCAATATTAGTCAGTTTAAAAGTTGTCGAATGGTCAACTGTGGTTCTAAACTACTGTTGTTATGGCTGAAAGCTTGTCACATAGGCTAAGGTAAATTCACTTCTTGTCATATTTTACATCCCGAAAAGGTTTACTGATCTTCGCACTTATGCTTGTGTATGGCATTAATATTCTTTAACTTCCCTTCTGAAGTGATGCAATTTTGTGTTTTGCCATTATTATTCATCTCTTATTCAGTCTTCGATTATTCTAACACGCGACGTATCAATAAACATCTAAAAGACGAAAGGGATGGCCTTGTTAACTATTCTTTGGGGATTTGTTGGTTTTCTAAGAGTTACGTTTCTTATTTATCTTCGTGACTTCTTGTCTTGCCTTTAAGTTCTTATGAAGGTGTTTAGTTAGTTGTAAGAGTATGTGAGGTGTATAATTTACCGCAGTTATATGTAAAATATTTCCCTAAGTTTAAACAGAGAATAACTGATTTTGGAATCGCTGTTCGCCTTCATTGATTAAAAATATTAGCTCCTGTAACCAGAATTCAGATTAATCCGTTTTTAAAATCTGGTTTACTATCTTCAGCGGATTATCGACCCCAAGTGCGGGAGATTTTTTTCAGGCAGTGTGCCTGTCGGCATAGAAGCTACAGAACATTTACAGTTCAGTGTTGATGATTCCAGTGAGTTTGACCATTTTCTTATACCTTTTAATTTTACATAACACTATAGTTCGTAATTTAATTGTGCCTGAAAAATTAATCCTGAAATTACACAAATGTATGTATTTCTAATGATATCACTTTTAGGCTTAATGCATTTTCTTCACTGAAATGCAGTTACCTTATCAACTTTAGTATTTAGTTTGCATAACTGATATCTATCGTGGAATTATTCTCTATAAGAGTGCATAAGTTATATTCCTATGTTAGTATAATTTTTTAAACTTTAGCCTTTAGTACTGTACCCTAAATACTAATCCCTTTCAATGACACTACTGAATCTTTTGTCAATAACTCTAAATTTGAATTTCTAATTCCTAAATCCCAATCTTATGTCTCTAATCCTAACTGTACCAAGGCAGTACTGTTAAAAAATCGAGTTTTCTTCTATGTTACCGAAATTACAAGATGACACCTTTGTCTGTAGCTAAAAGCACTTCTTGCCAACTGGTCTAAATGCATTATCGGTGTAATTAAACACTAATTTTTTAGCATCAAGAAAACATGTTGAATAAATTATTGGCCTAATAGAAGCATAGCTGTATAGTTACCAGTCATATTTTTATGCATTACCATTAAAAACTTTCTGTTACAAAACACATTCTTTTCTAACAGTTTATTATAGCATGCCGATAACAAACTCAGCTGTAATAACTGCTCTAACAGACAAATTCTTTTCACCGATATCCTGTTATCATCATCATGAAACTAATGTTCATCCCTGCAGGCCTAAAATTAAACATTTCAAAGGTACTTTCGTTTTCAAGTTAACTTGATTTAAATATACATGTATTTGTTCTAGCTGTTAATTCATCTATTCCTTATAGTTCAAACACAGTACAATTGTTACAGCCAACTTGTTGTCATATCCTTCTTTCAGGGGATCGTTTTAAATCTGTTAGTGTGTAAGTTATTCTGATTAAACAGTTATATCGTCTAATGATAGGTAACACTGCCAAAGTTATGTTTTGATTTTCTTAACTAATTTTGGTCAACAAAATATATTGCACAGACATTTTCGAAATTTAATTTAATTAATAAAAAACCTAATTTCAATAAAAGACTATTGCAGTAATATGGTGATGAATAATTTGCAAGCGTAAATATGAACTGCTATTTTACTTCAGCCGATAAACTTTGGGCCACCCGTCGCTTTATGTAGCATAGGAGATAAACGATTCGAGTACTAATTAGGCTTGCACTTAACAGCAGCCATTAAAAGTAAACACTATAATGTTCAGTTAAAAAACTGCAACTAAAGAGACTTCTTTCAATAATTGAAAGGTATTTCCTTCTGGTATATTGTCGGAGAACTGATCTGTCATAATACTTGCTGAAAAAATATCATCACTTTAAATAGGATTGTTTTGAATGAATTAGAATTTATGGCAAATTTTTGTCGTATAAAATGTAGTGCGGTAGTAACTATATCTTGATTTGCAACTGAGTGTGGATTAATTTTTTTGTTTATGTCACTCTAAAAACATCTACAACCAAAGTAAATTGGTGACGGCTAAAGTTGAGAAGACATTTGAGTCCTGACAAGAGGTGGATGCTTTCATTCTGGCTACTCTCTGGGTTTCCTTTTTATTTCACCTATTATCTTTCCAGATTAAGATCGTGTATCCAAACAGAACCTTCACAGATAGTTTTTATAGTATCCCATTCTCATTAACTAAATTATTCAATAGAAGTACAACACCTACTAGGATAGTTAATTACAATAGTTGCCTTGTGTACACCTAAGTTTATTCACATAAAGAATCTGTGTCACAAAAAGTTTATGAATTAAGTCCAGTAAAATAAAGTATAATAAATCTTACTGACCTACAAATTTTTATGGTTTCTTCTCTGCTTAAGAGATCACTTGGGATGTTTAGACCAAGGAATTTTAGATGGTTCACACCAAACGGCTAATCTGAGCCAACCATTTATATCTTGTGAGCACCTGAATTCTATACTTCCAGACAAAGACATTCCGACTGGATCACGTTCAGCTGGCGACGGCCAAACAGACGATGAAGAATTAGATGGTGCAAATTGTTCAGTTTATCCAGAAACTATTCAATCTAAAAACTATCCAGTCAGTACAAATTTATCAAGTGAAGTGAAATGTCATTTAGGTGGGTAATGATAGTATATGTGGATTTTTCCATGCATGAAGGTGTTTATATATATATATATATGTAGGGCGAGAGAGAGACTCATTATATGCAGGATCATTGTTGTTTATTTCGTTATTCGGCAAATCTATCCTTTACATAGTTTTTAATCATTTTATTGAGTTAAAAATTATAACTTCATTACACTATGCTTGTATGTTTTTAAATAAAAGCAACCATTCTTATAACTGTTATGCTTACGTTGTTTTTCAATCATTAACAACCTTTTCACATTCATGATACCTATAAACTTTGCACTTAAAAGGTAAGCTACTTTCTTTAAAACTGTCAGTTTATGATATACGCTCAACTCCTGTTTTTCTTCGTTGCTTTATTAACAAGTAGTTTTTCTAAAGTTGATTTTCATCCTCAACCTTCATCAGTTAGAAAAGCACTGGCTGATTTTTTGTCAACTTGTAACTTTTCTACTAAGTTCATTCATCAGCTCGGAAGAAATCACGCCTAATGTATGAACTGATGGCTTTGTTATGTTACCAGTGACTACATAAGAAATCTTAAGATCGGGCTATACGTCATAGGGTGATTTTTATCGGAAAAAAAATCCATGAATTAGATGAAATATGCTTCTTGGGTGTTAATAAAAACTTGCGATTGTGTTCAGTAGACTAAGTGCCGCATTAGTGAAAACATTAGTTAATGCAAATGCTAGGTGTACAAGGTATATATAGCTTGCCTATACCAGAAAGTAAACCGTAAAATCCCAACTTGTGTCTTTTTCTGCTGTTGGTGAGGTGTCTTTACCTCTGTTCAAGTACATAAATGTGCCACATCAATGTCTTCAGTTCTGCTATGCAAACAACTAAATTTGACTTGATGATATTAAAATATGAAAAACACATGATAGGCTTTCAATTATCGGTATTTTCCAGTATGTGCTCAATTATATTGACTGCTAAATAGCCCTAAGGCTTAGACTGTTATCCGTAGTTTCTACGATTCCTAATGTATTGTGGGAGATGAAGCATGACAGGGGCATACATAATCACTCAGTATTTCTAGGTATTTCTAGTAACTTAATTTTCTGAAGCGACACATCGATAAGTATGATTATCCAAAGCCAGTACTAGAAGAATCTCCGCAGGAATCTCATTCGCCCTAATTCAAAGACATTAAAATGTCATACATTAAATCACATAGACTCTATCCGCTCACGCCTACCCGAGCTTGAACAAAAGATCACAAAGAATCCATGTTTTATATAAAGTATCTGGTGATGAACAACAAACGTTTCAAGACTATGTATGCAATGTCATACGATAAAGTTGCAACAATACTACTTCGTGACTAACAAAAAGCCTGAAACCATCTGAAACTGTCCCGTTGTTTCCACAGAATCCTGTAAAATTGTCTTTAACTTTTCCAATTTTCCTATTCAAATCCAAGTCCTATCAGTTGACCCGAAATTTTGCAATGTATCGAGTAAAATCAACGAATTACAAACTAAAGTCCAGTTCGAGAATTTGATCTCACAGACATTTGACTCGTCGTCTGCTTCTGAAAGAGATCTCGAACAGTTCAAAGCTTCAGTTTCTCAACAGCTGCTACAAGTACATTCGTACATAACCGAGCCATCGTTATCTGCTGAACAAGGAACACAGAAAACAACTTCAAGAAAATAAAGACATAATCCTTGCCCGTCGTGATAAAGGCAATAGGATTATGGTGATGAACAGATCCAACTATATTGAGATATTAACAAATATACTATCAGACAACACTAAATTCTCCAAAGAACAGAAAACCTGCCCACAAAATTGTTGAAGAAAATGAAAGAAGATTCAGTCATGAAATTGGAAGTATATGAGCAAAAAAGCCATGCTGTTCAATTACTCAAAGACTATATAGATTGCCTAAAGTGCATAAAAAGAATGTTTCACTTCTACTTATCATAGACATGGTCATCTCAACATATCATCAGATCGCTAAGTGTTTAGAAGATATCCTTGAACAGCTAAGAAGACATATGACAAAGTATAGTCTTAGTGATACATTTGGCTTCATCCATGCAGTGAAAGATATCAACGTGTTTGAAAGACAAATGCTTTCACTAGATTTCACCGCTCTATTCACAGGCATCCCACTAACCGAGGCAATATGCTTCATCTGTGACTGAATCAAAACTAACTACCTAGAAGTTCCTCTTCCTATCAACTACTTAAAGGAACTACTTTTCAGATGCGCGTTTAATATCCAGTTCAAATTCAATGAACAATTTTATGTAGAGAAAAATGGTGTAGGTGTGAAGTCGCCTCTCGGTCCACTCTTAGCTGACTGCTTCATGGCGAGTTTCGAAAACAACATCGTCGATCCATAAATCAGTCAACTGTATTTATATAGGAGATACGTAGATGATACGTTTATAATCTGTGGTGAAAAAGTTGATGTATAGTATTTGCTCAAAAACTTTAACGCAGTACACCCATCAATAAAATTCGCCTTAGAACGTGAATCGAACATGTCATTTCCATTCTTCAATGTACAATGTAAGACTGCACGATGCAAAAATCAATATTTCACAAGCCAACATGGACGAAACAGTTAATCAACTTCCAAAGCTTCTTCCCACTGGTCCGAAAGCAAAGCCTAGTACGCACATTATGTTCAAGGATTAGAAAAATCTGTTCGGAAGGAACGATAGAGAATGAGTTATACCTTACTTGAGATTTATAGATAAAAAATGAAGGGAAAGTCTCCGTCGCCAAAAATCGCAACTGTTCCTGAGAAAACTCTCTTCATGAACCTGGGATTCAAATGTGATATCGAAGCAGAAATTCTCAGAAACCACCTTTCTGAACGTCTGAAGAAGACATTTCAAGCAACCATCTTACGCATTACGTTCTCCAGCAAACAATTCAGTTCAACGTTAAGGATAAGATACCGCTTTTGGCCAAGTTAGTGTGTATTTATCAGTTTACTTGTTCGTGCGGAGCAAAGTATATTGGCCGTACGCAACGTCAAGTCCGCAAACGTATTCTGAAACAATGTCCAAAGGAGAAAAGAAGAATAGCAGCAGTTCCATCCTTGAATACCCTGTCAACTATGGACATCGTGCACCCCGGCATGAATGCTTCACAAAGTCCTTCAATATCTTTCGAAAGGACTTCAAGTACTAAATCTGTACATAGTTGAATCATTGGCTATTCGGGAACTGAAATCAGACCTCTACATTCAAAAGCACCTCATGCATTCCCTCACCCTACCGTTACCAGAGTATCATTCTCACTATGATTTTGCCTCCTTTTGTTATGTAAGTTCACTATTATTATTATTATCATCCTTATTTTGTTATCACCCTGGTACTGTTTATGAGTAACGTTGCATTTTGATACAGATTTTATAAAAACACTTTTTCGTCTTTGCACTGATTCTTGTCCACTCCACATAACTGTGTCAATAAGTCATTTTCTCACACTCGTTATGTCATGCCAACTTCTGCCCCTTTTCTAATTTCCAATTAGTCACCCCGTCTAGACTACACCTTACATTATGTAACACGTTTTCGAGGACAAATTTCACCAGTATACGATTGGTCTTACGAATTCTCTATTAAATATAACTACGAATGAATCGTTGAAAAGAAAATTTTCTCCGCTGTTTACGTCTTTTTCTTATGACTAAATATGGGAATATATCGTTCATTCTAGGTATGTTTTTGGATGGATGAAAAAAGCCTTAAATAATCAAATCAAAATGTCTGACAAACATTTAAGGCTTCTGAATGTCAGTCTGAGTCATATACGTTGAATGTAGATTTCTTTCATATGCTGCTAAGATGGTAATTAATTATTGTAGGAGTTAAATGATGCGGTGTAAATATGTATTTATTGAATGTGGAATTAATATTTTATCAGTGAATATTTTGATTTTCTTATACTCATAAGAAAGGAGACCGAAGGATTAATTCATAATCACCACTATATTATATTACTATTTATTGTCTCTTTACCTTCCGTGGGGGACATGGGGTTTCAGCTGAACGTCTCCACTGTACTATGTTCTGTGCAACCACTTATAACTGGCTCCATGGCTGTCCACAAGTCTTCATTTCCTCTTTATATTATCTGCCACTAGAACCAGTCGACGACCTGGTATGTGATGTCACTCAACAAACTCCTCAGAGTATATCCAGTCCTTCTCCACTTCCTTCTGCATATTTTTGGGCAACAGCTTGTTGTCTGGTTTGCCGCCAGGACTCCTTTTCTACTTGCACTTTTCAGCCGATCATCTGATCTTCAAAATCAAGCGAAGGTAGCTAGTTTTTGATGAAAGTCTTCAGTAGTCTTTTGGGAATGCTGTTGGTGACACACGTATCAAGTTTTTCAACCATGTAAAAGCATTGATTTGAAATGTGTGCTAAGTGTCGAAGATCTCCGTATTAAGTTCAGTGAACTCTTGTGTCGCTTTCCCGATCCTGGCTGGTTTTCACATCCTCATCTGTACTGGCTGTAGTTAAAAAGATGCTACCAAAGTAAGTGAAACAGACAACTTGCATCAAATTTCTATATTAGTTATGTACCGTACATTTGAAGAAATTTCAAAATGTACAACTGACAATAAGTATTGTCTTCATATAGGTAGGTGACCGAAAGAGTATTTTGTAAACATGAAAGCAAAAAACTCTCTCGATTACAACTTTTATTATTTTCAAACATAATTTTAAGTTCAAAAGGTTTCAAATTAACTACAAAAGCCTCGCATTATTTTACATGATTGTTATACCATTACTCCTTTTCTAATAACTCTGAAAATTAAACTAACGCAAGATTATTTCTCTTCTCTGAACTCTTAAAGGTTCACTATCTCACTTGTCTTCACCGTCAATTTCTCTTACAAATAATCAAGTTGATACACAACATCTACTTCTTCCAGGTCGTTCTGAATTTGAGCAACGCTTAGTTCGAGAAGTAGCATACTTTGAGTTATGTGAATTTTTAATTGAACAAATTGAAGAAATTTATGATTTGGAGACTTTTAAATTGTTGGATCTACCAAAGAAAGAGAAGCATACAAATTTGCCATCAGAAATGCAAAATGATCGTCAGGTATTATTAGTGAAATTATTACCATTAGTAGTAGTGTTAATATTTCTAACTTTAAAAAGTTAGGTTCATTCTTTTTTGAGCAGTACCTTTGAAGTTCTGTGTAGTATGAAGTGTCGTTAAGTCTGTTGAACTGACTGACTGCTTTCAACATAGAACTTTGCACCGATGTGTAGAAGTTCGAGTCGCCACACCCCATGTAATACAACAAATCAAGGGAAGAAAGTAAGAAATGCGAAACAGAGATATGACGCAAAAGGAATACTAATATCGAAGAACCATAAACTTTTATTGGCTATTATAAGTTGCAAGGAGTGGATGCTTCCGCGTCATTGACAACGATTTTGATCCATATCACCGATTGTCTCTAGCCACTGGTTCTTACTATCTCGAGGACACCAACCAGGAAGCCAGTCTACACCTACCTACATGGCTGGCTGGCTTAAACTAACTGTTGTGGATTTCGTTGACCAATGAGGCCATGTTTTGGTTTGAACACCACTACTGACTCTTTTCCAACCTGACCCTATGTCAGCTAACACTGCCCGTCAGTCGAGGAAGGCGATGGCTAGAGATGCGTAACAAATGTGTTAACCATCTCAGTCGATGTAACTTCACAGTCTCGTCTATTGATTTCCCCTCCCACCCACCTAACATTCAACCGAAGCCCAACCTCAATATTGCTCACTCTATAATACCACTTGACACTGGAGACAGAACGCCGGGACCTATAATCAAATGCAACTAACTGGCCTTTTCATATCTCCCACTGTCAATGGCCAGGTCTCATTCACAGGCATAGAGGAGGACGGAGCGGACTTCTGAGCAGCACACATGCCCTTTGGTCGACAGTCAGCCGGATATCGCGTCTACTAAGCCAGGGACGGCGTAAACTGGCATATGCGGAACTAGCCCTCTTTATCTCGTGCTAAGAGTTGGTCAGCGATCAACCCGTTGGGGCTGGCTGATGCAACTTCCCAAATAAGTGAAATGGTCAACGTGGTCTACCACTTCACTGTCTATTTCTAGGTTAGGAGTAGTCGACGTATTCCAGTCCTGTAGTATCATGTTACATTTGACATAGGGAGCGAATCGCACGGTAAACATTCGAAGATTGCAGCTCAAGGTGTTCAGAAGACTCTGTTCTGTTTTTCCAGCCTCCTCTCCTAGGAAGGAGGACTATATCATCTGCATATTCTAAGTCAACAAGATTATTCCCTGATAACAGGTCATTCCTTGAGTCGCTAAAGTCATCAGTTAGGGTTAGTTGCATTAGTACATTTATGATAAAATTCAACAGAAATTGGGACAGTAGGCATTTCTGACGAACATCACTAGTTGTCACCACTTCAGATGACAGCTCCCCTTAAACTCTTACCTGGCTGACTGCATGAGTTCTAGTAGAGTGAGTGCCTTGATTGGTGCAATGTATTTCTCGGAATTCTCTTCACAGCCAAACATCGCCATTGTTCTACTTCGGTCGACAGAATTGAATGACATCTTTAGATCAAGAAATATGGTGATTGTTGGACGCCAGTAAGTATGTCTATGTTCCAGACTCTTTCGAGTTGTGAAGATATGATCAATGCACCCTCTTCCTGGTCTAAAGCCTGTCTGGTTCTCTCGTGTTTGTTGCTCCCGTGGACCGCTTCGTTCACGCATCATTATTGAGCTTAGAACTTTAGATATCACATTGGTTAAACTAATCACACTGTGATTATCACAAGAAGACTTGTCTCCCTTCTTGTACATCGGGATTGTCAATGACTTGCACCAACCCGACGGGACTTCCTCTGATTCCCAGATGCTGCCTAGTACCTTAGTTAACGCTGACAGTAGACTGTCTCCACCGTACTTAAACACCTGTGCAGTCATTCCATTGGGTCCCACAGCTTTTCCTCATTTCAGGCTAGTGACAGCCTTAGTAACCTCATTTAAGTACGGAGGATCTGTGTAAATATCCCATTCAGGGAGGTGTTGGATGTTCGTTAGGTTGAGCGTGGCTGTCGACCAATTGAATTGCTCCTCAAAGTGTCCCTTCCAACGTTCTAGTCGTCTATCGTGTGAGCTAATTATGGTGCCATTTTTCTCAGAGACTGTTTCACTTATGGTTTGCCTTTTACCACTTGTTTCCCTGAGAAGTTGTCAGGTGTTCCCGATCGTGGGCACCTTTTCTATCTCTTTCCCTCTTGTTGGTCACCACTGTTAGCGGTCGTTACGAAGGCTTCTTGTTAGTTTTCGTTTGAGTAGCTTTCGCTTCTCATCATAGTCGGAGCTCACCAGAATCAGTCTTCTTGCGTCAAGCCTCCCAAGCCTCAGGATGGTCGGGGATGCGTGCTTTGCGCTGCGGGTCGGCCACCCCTCCGTACACCTCTTGAAATGCTCCCATATGACCGGGCGTCTTACATAGCCTCTCCTGAGGAAGTCCTACTCACCGATTTCACGTGGCGGAGGTGTTCTTCACCGAAGTGAGAGGGCAAAAGCGGATGCCCGGTGCTCTTCACCGGGTTGACTGTCCATTGGATGACAGTCAAGGGTAGATGGCTAAACCCTGATTCCAAAACTCCAACGACTGGCGTATGAAGCTCACCGGAGCTCACCAGCAGACGTATGGGCAAAGGGCTTATTGGATGCCCTGGATGTCTAGCCCTATTCAAAAAGGCGTATGAACCGGAATCCGGTCACCGGCTGCCAATGGATAGTGGACTCCCTACTCCACTCCTACTGCCTTGTAGGTCACACTCTCAAACAAAAGGCTGAGCGATGCTGGGGACATCACTCGTACCTAATTCTCATGAAACTTCATGAACTCTCTACAACATCAACCAAATTCTAGTTCTGGTCCAACAACGTCGCCTGCGGTGGTTTGGCCATGTTCTGCGCCGACCAGATGACGATCTGGTCAAATCAGTTCTAAATCCCTCGCCATTTCCATCTTGGCGATGTCGCAAGGGTGGACAGCTGAAAACATGGCTTGGTACAGTCAAGGCTGATATGGAGTGCCTGGGGCTACAAACCGTCTACGAACTCCGTCTGTGGAACAAGAATTGGATAACCCTGTCGCAAAACCTTGCATTAGATCGCCGCGCCTGGGCAGCGGTGATTCGAGATGTTCATGAAGCCGGCTCATCCTCCCGTAGGAGATAGCCGAAGTAAAAGTAAGTAAGTCATTCAGTTGGGTTGAGGTGGTAGAAATCCAGTGGCTCTTAATAACTTTAAGTTTCAGGTTATTACTAGCTCTTATCAGCTGTGTCTACAGCTAACTGTATATTGTGCCAGGCCTTCTGAGGAGGAGTCTTGCTGTCCATTCGAGATACTTGTTTCACTATTTCTTTCTTAAATAGGTACTGGGAATCTCGATCTAGTTGAGGACGTAACTGCTTCGTTGCCAACAGGCTTTTATGTCCGTTTCGACGTAAGCATAGACGTGTGTGAATCAGGACGTGATCAGGGTCTACTCACATGTTCCAGTTGGAGCGGGAGTCACCTACTGACCCTCGCCAACAATATCCTATCGCTATGTGGTCTATCTAAGTCCAGCGTTGATTTGGTGATGGAGGTCGCCAGGTTACACAATGTCTCTCGTTGTGCCTAAAGTTAGTGCTGACTAGGGACAGATGATTATCTGAGCAAAACCAAACCTTTACTAACACCTGAAGTTCAAAAATACTTGTCTAATCACTAAAGACTGTCGACTACTACCTTACGTAATGGAATGACCAAGATGAAAATAATGACTTAAACTCCAGCAAATCGCTGATATATATATATATATATATATATATATATATCCTTATTGAGTGTCATACCAACTAAGTTTCGAAGCCGAGCTGCTGATTAAGTCTCTAATTTTATCTAAACAACCAAGAATTTATTTACACTTTCGTTTAAAACTTAACTGCATGTGTATATCATTTTAGCTTATCAATTGTCTTTTCGTTCTGGTTATTTTCCTACGAAAGAAAGCTTGTTATCAAATCTTGGTGAAACCACCTATGGTCATTTTTGACATAAGATGGTGATTAGTGAAATGAGAGAAAAATGAGTTTCTCATCTAGATTCGAATTGTCAGTCTTTAAGTGATTGACTATCCAGGCACATCTATACCTTTTATTCCTTAGTTAATAGTTTTAATGGTCTAAATATCTAAATATGCCTGTAGATGAAGCCTTAAGCAAACATTTATTTGATAAATATTAAGGTTCAGAAGTCAAATGTCTTGTCTTCAATCCCATTCCCACCGCACATGACGTCGGGTCAAGCAGTTGTCCACAGTCCTCACAATCCATTCATAAGTGTATCAGTTCAAAATCGTATTGATCAGACGGAAAATGTGGAACACTATGCGGTGGACAGTGCAACTGGATTGGCAGTTTCACTAATCAATACATGTATAAAAGAAACTGTTCAACATGTTAAACATGAAACGATTTTCTGCAGACTTTGTGAATTACGAGAACTGATGCTCCACACTTCTGATATAGATTGGGTCCATTTGAATCAATCGTCCACTAGTTTCACAGAAGCAAAAGGTTTTACTCAAAACAATAAACTTCAGCATTTGTTAAGATCTTCGAGTTTTTCTAAAAGCAGTGAACACTCTGTCAAATCCCCAGAAAATTCAGGGCAGTCAACTCGTCAGAGGTAAGCACTTTTTTGGTGTCTTTTTGAAAAAAAAATGTTTTCAATATGCTGTTCCTATCTTGTGATTGTTTTATTTCAAATGTCCTTTGCCTTAGACATTCATTAGTTCATCATTTTATGTGTAAATTATCTTCATTCATTCCTTGCATTCGTAGTGGAACATATGGCTTCAAGCTTTGAAGTTTTAGTAGTGGTGTTGTCATATTATGGAATGGGGTTGCTAACTTAACGCATAACCCTCCCTCTCTTCCGTATCCGGTGAGCATTTTACCATACATCCATCGAGGTACTATTCTAGTATGTGTAAAACTCTTCAACTTAAAATAATACAAGTTACGCGAAAGTTATACTCAATATTTTCTGTCAATTGCAATTACTTGAATGCGTATCATATCGTGAATGAAATTTTGTGTTTGTTAGTAAAGTCTTCATTATTGTTACTTTTCAAACACATAACTGACCATCCATTAATCTATTTACGTCGATGTAATTAAAAACTGAAGTAGGGTAATAACTATGATAAAACAAACACACTGTATACAGTCTTGAGAGTGAGGCAGTTGAGCGTGTTGAACACTTCACGTATTCACGACATCACACCTTTACTAACGAACTGATTGCTGACAAAATTTCAACATGAATAAAAAAAGACTAGGATAGTAGTTGGGACCTTATGTGGTCTTTAGGGTAACCTTGATATTTGGTTGTCGATCAAAGGATTTGTGTACAACGCAGTATTTCTCTCTGTCTTTCTTTATAGCTCTGGTGTTCATGGAAATTGAAAAGCCTGAAGAGGCTAGCTGTCTTTGACCATAGATATCTGCGTTACATCTCTCGTCTTAAATGGTATAATATGGTGAGTAATATTGAGGTTAGGCATAAAGCGTTAGGTAAGAAGGACAAGTCAATGGATTAGTTTGTGAAGCCTCCAAAGCCTCAGGATGGTCGGGGGTGAGTGCCTTGCGCTGCGGGTTGGCCACCCCTCCGCACACCTCTTGAAATGCTCCCATATGACCGGGCGTCTTACATAGCCTCTCCTGAGGAAGTCCTACTCACCGATTTCACGTGGCGGAGGTGTTTCTCACCAAAGTGAGAGGGCGAAAGCGGATGCCCGGCGCTCTCCACCGGGTTGACTGTCCATTGGATGACGGTCTAGGGGAGATGGCTAAACCCTGATTCCAAACCTCCAACGACTAGCGTATGAAGCTCACTGGAGCTCACCGGCAGACGTATGGGCAAAGGGCTTGTTGGATGTCCTGGATGTCTGGCCCCATTCAAAAAGGCGTATGAACCGAACTCCGGTCACCGGCTGCCAATGGATAGTGGACTCCTTACTCCACTCCTACTGCCTTGTAGGTCACACTTGGCTGTGTGAAGGCTAGAGCTGCACTCTCAAACAAAAGGCCGAGCGATGCTGGGGACATCACTCGTACCAAATTCCCATGAAACTTCATGAACTCTCTTACAAATTACCGCGCCTGGGCAGCGATGATTCGAGAAGTTCATGAAGCCGGCTCATCCTCCCGTAGGAGATAGTCGAAGTAAAGTAAGTAAGTTTGTGAAGCTACGTCAAGGAGTTAGGCGTGGTCAGATCAAAACTTGCTATCAATCCATGAAAGCTTTGACTGTTAGTCCGAGCCAGTCACATAGGATGTTGATCGTTTTACTAGGGTACTCGAAACACTATGAGAGAATGGCTTCAAACCATTGATGATATGGCCCAAAATCTTTTTCATTGGAGCAGGTGCATTTATTTCTCGTAATTTCTCAGATTCATCAAATCTTCATGAATCTCCATGTAATTATGCCTTCTTTCATTCATTTCCATTGATTCAAGTTCCCTTGAATTTTCTCTCTGTGCAATATGGAATATGACAACCTGAACTGCTCAACTTCTCTGCATAAATCTACGTCGAAAACTGAATCAGCCAGTTGCACCGTAATGTACTGCTTTATCATTATTATTAAGAAATGGAATATGGAATATATCCATACATTGTATTAAATATTAATAGTTTGTCAATAGATTACAGGATTTGATTGGGCACTAGTAACTAGATATAAGAATAAAACTTGTGCACTGTGGTAGAGTGTAATTCCATCATGGGTAAATTTTGTTTTGATAAAGTCTCACAGTGTTATACAGTAATGTTTACTGATGACGTTTCGAGCACAATTTATTGCTCATAATCATATCAACCTTGATACCTTGATATGATTATGAGCAATAAATTGTGCTCGAAACGTCATCAGTAAACATTACTGTATAACACTGTGAGACTTTATCAAAACAAAATTTACCCATAATGGAATTACACTAGTAACTAGTATGATGTGTCTAATCCTTTCTGTGGTGCAGACTGAATTCTATCAGTCAGGTTTGCAATGTTGCCATCATTCTAGGTAGCTCGCCATCACGGTGCATATTGATTTGATGAACACTAGTTACTAGTGTTCAATCAAAGTATCCAATACAGTCCTACAGGAGGTCAATCGCGAGCCTGGATAGCTCAGTGGTAACATCTCTGACTGCAGCACTGGGTGACGCGGGTTCGAATCTCAGAAGGGACATGAGTTCGTTCAAGTTTGCAGACACACCTTGCTGACTGATGACTGCCAACTGGCACGAAACCTAGATCTTAGGCTTCCTGTGGCCAATTGCCTCCAACCATCTAATATCATCAGATTATAGAATTTTCTGGATTCTAGCTTTCATGGCACACACCACTCCACTAAGGATTCACCGCTATGGAGTTACTATCTTGATTCTTTTGTAACTGGCTATCCTTCATAGCTGAAATATATGCGTAAATATCCAGCACAATACTTGTTTTTGGCACCCCCAAACATGTGTCATATAATGACTTTGACAGTGAGACGGAATCGAAGTGAGTATGATAAAGTGTAAAAAAAACTGAGGAATATTATGAAGACATCATCATAACAGAAAACCTTTAAATTTCAGTTGTCACATTATAAAAACACCTGAGGGACCGTCTTCATGTAAACAAATTGAACTCTAATAGTTCAAATAATCTTTGTGTTAAACACAAGACGTTGAAACTTTGTTTCACCAACTTAATACACAGTTTCACTAGAATTTTGATTTGTACTGTGAATACACCTTCTCTCCAACCTCGTATTCTATTTTCTCTTCTTGTGACTGTTGATCGATGTGTCACATTAGTTACTGATCAAAATATAGTGTAGAAACTTGTACAAGCTTCCTGAAATTTACTAAAGGTAGAAATTTATTTAACGATGATGTGTAGGATAGGATCAATTGAAATAGTAAGATATTTTCAATTTTGTATAATATATGGCTGTATGAAACATCATGTGAAGCATACACTAATCTATCCTTTACTATAAACTTATATTTCATTCTACTTTTATTTGATGAATTTTTTTTAAATTCACCTGATTGTGGTTTTCACCTAACACATTTGTCACCCCCTTTTTTTTTCTATTGTATTTCATTGCAAAGGTGGACGACTTTTCACTTCAAATCCATGCCTCAACCGACCAGTTCAAAACTTACTGTGAATTCACTTTCACAATCAGGTGGTTATTTATCAACCTTTTTGAATTCATTCAATTCAGTGCGCAATAATGGGAAAATTTCTGAGACGACTACTGTCTCAGTCAACACAAATCCGGTTAAGTTAAATAATAATAATAATGACAATAATAACACTAATTCAACTGTTGATTCAATTTTAAAAGATGGAAATAACTCTCAATCATTAATTTCTTTGATTAGAGATTTTAAACTTTCAGATAGACAAGACAATCCTCTCTTACCCTTGAGCAGTCATCGTTCCTCTGTCGACTTTGTATGTACCCCTCTACCGTATGGTCTGTTAATTAACCCACCTGTTAATAAATCTAAGTAAGTCTATATATTTTTAAAGTATTATATTAAAACATTAAATGCAAAATATTGTCTTTCTTTTGATAAGATGTAATCTATTTGCCTAACACATTTTAAACAAACTGATCGTATATGTATGTATACTTGTAATAAGAATTTTTATGAAAGAAATAATAAAGCGTTAAGAGATGAAAGAATAGATGTAGGTCAAGTCAAAAGGACATTTTGAAGGCCAAAATATCAATGGAGATCAACTAATCGAAAAATGGGGAGGATAATAGTACGTACATCAATCTCGGGATTAAAACAATATTTTTATCAAAGAAGGTCTAATTTGATGAAAAATTGTTTGTAGACACATAAGAGTGGCTTAAACTTTCCAGTGTCTAGGGTTTCCACAAACTTTAAGATACGCGCGCAACACGTTGTACAGAAAGGGTTTGGAAGATGTATAAACATCAGTTTTATGCCCTCTATGTATAATATATTTTGTAATGGAAGAACCTGGTTGTCTGTTGGTATCATTAATGTGTTCGGGGGATTCACTTTGTTTCAAGGTTTCATCATGAAGTGAGATCGGCTGGAGGACCATTGGAAAACTTGGGAATACTGGAAGTCTGTTTCGTCCATATTCTGGACTCTTCAGTACTATGCACCCACTGGGGGTTCAAACCCAGGACCTTCTGGTTACATGGCGAGCTCGTAGACCATTAATCCACTGGGATCTGATCCAGTGGTCCATGAATTCTGCTCTATTCAGGTAGGTAGTTACCTAGACTGTAGTGAGAAGTCGTGACCAGTGAGGTAAAGCAGGTCGGGTGTGAGGATAAATACTCTCTGATGAAATTCCCTAGTGGTCGCGCCATATCATGAATTACCAGAAGTTGGAATTCATGGGCTATCTGATTGGGTCCCAGGGGCTTAATGGTCCACGATATCGAGTTTTAACCAGTAGGTCCCGTGTTCGAACCCTGTCGTTGAATGTGTGCTACTGAAGGGTCACAAGCCAGGATGAAACAGCTGTCCAGTACTCCCAGTTGGTTTTCCAATAGTTCTCTAACTGATGTCAGTTCATGATGAAATCCTGAAACTAATCAAACTCCTGCAAATCAACACTTGGATTCAATATGTTTCTGAAGCCCTAACTTTCAGAGATCGATGAGCCCTCATTTACATTAAAGTAGATAGATACAGTGGGGTGTGATATCATTTTTCGTGTTTTCCGAAGAATTAGACGGTATTCAGGCTTCACGGATCTTAGCTGCATAAGAAGTCGTCCTTTCACCCACAGCCTTCAATCCTTTTTTAACTGTCAGGCTATTAAGACCACCCGTGTAGGGTGATAAAAGACATCCCTTTTTTAATCTCAGGTTCACGAATTGATCTTGACGTCCTGACCCCTGTGTGCCTCGTAATAATTTCCCCGTGGTAATTATTTTCAACAAGAGTTTCTGCTACTACTCTTTCTTAGCGTTCAAATGTATCTTCTCTGCATATTCTTTGAACCCTATCAAGGCACTTTACAAGGGCTTTCTTGTACTGAACTGAATCGGGACTGTGTTAATTAAGACCACTATCCTGTCCAAGTAGTTTTTACACAAACATACCTATGTATTGATCCATCAGGCCGTTTACTAATCAAATATATATCTCTCTGTTGTACGCATGTAAGTGATATTCTATTTTACGCTTCATTCATTCAGTCATAAATTGAAGTGGTGTAATGAAATTCTTAACTGTCATAACTGTGACATGTAATTCATTGTGAAAACTTGTCTTAGTTCTGATGCATATCATGTCTTAGCTGTATGCAAAATCTTATGCTACTTCATTGTTTAATTCAAGCATTTTAGATACTAATATTGGACTAATCGCTCTTAATTCTCTTAGATCACTACTGTGTGTCGTCTTATGATTTACTTTGTCTATCGTTTCATCCCTAGGAGCTCTATCATACTACTAAACTTTACTTCCACTAAGTGTTTGAAAAATGATACAAAACCTTCCATAGATTTTTCTGATTGATTATATGGCATAGGACTAAATAGGTTGTCATAAAAATTCAATAACATCTGCAAAACGTGTCTTTGATGTACTTTGACTACCTTGTGGTTGCTTTTGGAAAATATTGTAAAGTAGTGATTACAGGTTGTGTTCAGCGAAGAAATTTCTTTTCAACGACTTCATTATCAAGCTGTATAGTCGTATTTATATTACAGAAAAAGTTATTAAGTGGCACTAAATAATTGCTCAGTCAATATACATATATAAGTGATATGAATAACGATAATTAAAATGTTATAAGGGGTAAAGTTGAAGTGGATGGATTATAAAATTATTAAAGATTGTTTTATAAGTGCCACTTAATAACTTTTTCTGTAATATAAATACGACTGTACAGCTTGATAATGAAGTCGTTGAAAAGAAATTTCCTCACTGAACAAAAAACTGTGTTTTTACTTATGAATATCTGGGTATTTCTCGTGATTACAGTTTGTGTTAACGCATTCTGATGAGGTAGTGTTTGTTTTTTCATTTATTCCATTACTTTGTCAGACGTAAAGCGATTTTGACCAATCAGAATAACCGGTGTGCTGGTTGTGGTGCTTTCATTGAAACACGTGAGTTTTCTGCCAGCATACTATAATTATTCAGTATTAAGCAATATGTATTAATTATCATTATTGTTATCCCCTTTAAGTTCTGACTTCAACAACACCTCTCCATTTCATCCTGTTCTTCGCAGTCCTTTCTAGTTGACTCGACGATGGTTTCTAAGCTTTCATCTCTTGACACAGTCTCTTCCATATCACTCTGAGACGCCCAACTCATCGTACATTTCCCTTTCGGGTTCCACTCGACGGCCAGGCAACTAATATCACTCTGTGGTCTTCTCAGAGTATCTCCAATCCATCTCCATTTTTTCGGTATATGTAATCATCCAACACATCGCGCGCCAGACCCTTGAGTGGAATCCAACTGGGAAGCGACAAATGGGTCGTCCTAAGGCGAGATAGTGTGAGAAGGAGATGAGAGATTATGGGCAATCGTGGACCCAGCTGAAGAGAGTGGTAGAAAACAAAGCAAAGTGGAGATGTGTTGTCGAAGAGGTGTGTTCCACTCGGAACCCAAAGGAATAATAATAATGTGGTTCGATGATCAGAAGATAGATACTGCATCCCACAGAAGGCGATAATTGTCTTCTATTATCTTGTGAGTGATCTGTTGTATTCTAGAAAGTATATATATATATATACCGATAAAGTGAAATGAGTTCTCAGTAACCGTCACTCCTGAGATATGATTGATGTTTATTCTTAGTAGATTTTACCAATCAAATCACAGTGTTCTAAGTATCGAATACCTGTCATAATTGTTTGAATTTAAACCTATTGACCTGACGCTTAGAATTCCAAAAGTATAATATCTACCATTGCTTTCATTGCTTTTCAAAACAACCAAATTTCAGTTAATCTTCCTCATAAATAATAAATAATGATGTTATTTGTGTTTATAGTAGTAAGTGCTTGATTGTGAATCTATCCGTGTGTGACCAAGTGTACACGATCTTAAGACCTCAACTTTATCATATAAATGCAAGAATAGAATACAATATCATACTGTTTAAGTTTATTTGGTATAGCACTCTCAGTGTTACAACATTATTATTGACTAAATGACGTTATTTATTCCCCTTTTAAGCCAAGCAAAAACAAATATGAGGTCATTATTTACTTTGTTGGATTCGATCTTCGTTCGCTTACAACCTAGAAGTTGATTATGTACATGTGCACAGAATTTTGTTATATTTGCAAGGATCAACATGATTTTTGTTAGGAGAAGCACATGTAAATAAACAATGTTCAGAAGTCCTACCTATATAATTGATAAAGGAGGTTAAAAGGTTCAAATAAATTACAAATCATAAAGTGAAGAACAACCTACCAAAAGCAATACGCTTTCGTCTCCTTTGTATTGTTGAAGCCTTAGACATTCAGTTGAAAAAATCAGAGTTATGTATACAAAAGAAAATCATTTAACCACTTCTACTATCACGGTAACAACTGTTTTACCTTCTACTGACTTGATATTTGTGCACTTGTTTTTTTCTTCTAACTCCTCATAGCACTTGTAATTTCTATAACTTACATAATTCAATATTTTTCTTTGTTTTTATGTGCATCCTAATCACAGCTCACTCATCCTATTACGTAACTGTTTCTTTTATTCCTTTACACGTTCCCAGTGGAACATAGGGTTTCAAGCTAGAGCTCTGAAGTTTTAGTGGCATTGGTGTTTATTTCTACGGGATGGGTTGCTAGCCTCATGCCCAGCCTTCCCTCTTTACCAGTCTTATTATTACTGGTTTAGCGATGTGAAGGAGCGCGTCGGCCGGGGATCGAACCCCGAATCGCCTGCGTGGTTGGCGAGCCATCGACACGTAACTGCATTACTCTTATTCAGCTTCTTTTATGTGCTAATAAATATGTTTTCTCTGATAAAGCATCACTACTACCCTCTTACCAATCTTCAACCCATTTCCCTAGTTACAGCTCGATTAGTCATCACATTTCTATAATGTCTTGACAACAACAACCCTAACTTATTTTTATTCTTATCGGACAATCCTAGTGTACACACACATACTAAAATAAGTATATATGTCATTGTGATTGTAAAGCTAAGTGAATTAATTCACCGAAAATTACAAACATGCAAAATTAATGATGGAATATTCAAGTGTTGGGTTGTAGGGATTTGATTGGTTTCAGGATTTCATCATGAGCTGATATTGGTTAGAGAACCACTGGAAAACCTGGGAGTACTGGACAACTGTTTCGTCCCAGTTTGGGACTCTTCAGTAGTACGCACCCACCGGGATTCGAACCCAGGACCTTCTAGTTAAAAGTCGATATCGTGGACCATTAAGCCACTGGGACCCGATCCAATGGCCCATGAATTCTAACTTCTGCCAATTCACGACATAGCACGACCCCTAGCGATGATGGAATACACTGAAATTTGAGTTGCGCAGTCAAGACAAGGGGAGAAACACTGATAATGATTTATAGTGTGGTAAGTTTAACTCAAGTCATAGAAACAAAAAGAACTGAACTATACTAAAGCGGAAAATGATGTGTGAGGATTGGGTGAAAACAAAAGAATACGTAATCAATTGAGACGTAAAGATTGGACGCTGCGTCACCAAGGCAAAGAAGTGAATCTTTCTGAACAAATAAGTCAGGTTTTAAAACGTGTAATAGCGATTGCTTCGGCAATTATGAGGAGAGTTGAGTTGTATTGTGTCTATTATTAATCTTGAAGGATCTCACTCTACCCAACTTATGGCATGTTCAACATGTTCACCTGACTTCGGTGTTATATAGTTTCACTTGCTCCATCTTTTTTCAACGGAATTTTCACACACTGGTGTTGTAATATCCCTACTTACATATTTGTTAGGTGTTGATTCATTGAGTCAAGATTCAGTGATTAACTTCTTTCTCTCTCCACTTATTTTGCCTCCTTGTACTTTTGCACTTCTCCCACCCTATTATTCGACTCTATGCAGCTGCATGCATGCACCACTTATCCTACTGACGTCTGTTATTCTAGATGTAACTTAATTTCTATATTTTGGTAACCTATATTGTGGTGAGAGCTGGCTGTTAGCCAAAATTGGTGGACAGTTATTTACATCAATGTTTATGTCCCCAATATTGGTCGTGAGAAGAATGAGAACAAATGCTTTGCGTAGGCGGACACAGTTAACATATAGATGATCTGTTGTCTGGCCCTTGTCTTCTGTTGTTACATTTGGTGTCGCTGCCTACCGACAAATGGAAAGCCTATGCGCTGCAGTTTTTGATGGACTCCGGGCAGGACTTCGAGGCTTCTACGCAGTTGAGTGGCGTGCAAGATCTGTCATCGATGAGGCTGCTACTCGGGACGCTGCTAGAAGGTCAGGCGAAAGCGGCATATGAAAGTGTGAGCCGAAATACTGACGAATGTGCGACAGGGTCAGGCAAACAGTTTCCAAAGTGGGAAGGACCACATATGATCACCTTGAGATGGGGTTACGCAGACACAATCGCAATAGTAAACAAAGAGAAACAGGTGAACATCAGCGAGTGCCGAGATTCCATACAGCAACACAAACGAGCAAAGCCCGTAGAACCAAGAAGACCGAACCAACTTCAGTCGCAAGTTTTTGACGGGGGGACAAGTGTGGTGAGAGCTGGCTGTTAGTCAAAATTGGTGGATAGTAATTTACATCAATGTTTACGTACCCAATATTGGTTGTGAGAAAAATGAGAACAAATGCTTTGCGTAGGCGGATACAGTAGCCTGGCCCTTGTCTTCTGTTGTCACAATATCACTACTATGTATGGAGAACAGATGATATGGTATATACTTCTGACTGATATAAGCTAGTTTCCAGAGAACTTGTGTCACTTAGTAGTACTTATCACAATGCCATTTTGCTTGACTTGTCGGTTGTCATTTATAAGATCAAACACACCATAAATTTGTGATTTGAATATTTCAGATTACTAAAAGAAATCTTGTTAAATTTTCATCTCTTGTTGTGTAATTTGTAGGCAACAAATATGTAGGCATGACTCAAAGATAAATATTGTAGACTTAAGGTTCCCATTGACCCAATCAAGTGAAAATAATCTAATTAACCAAGTACTATGCGTAGGTCAAATCACTAGTTCAGAGTCGGGTTATGAAAAAATAAGAATTCAGTCGTTGTGATTCATGCACTCGCTTGTAATCGCACAATAGGATATGACAGAGTAAAACTATTACGAAGTAGTAAAGTTAGGTGGAGAGAAAGGTTATGTGATATTGAATTTATAAAAAAAAATCACTCTTGGACTAGTCACTTCTGTTGGTCATGCTTTAGAACTACTAGCTACGACTACTAAGTTACTAAATCCTCCCTCCCCCTCCCCCTCATAGTTAAACCGCTTGTGTTTTACACTTCGGTGTGTAACGAGTAAGTGGGTAGGCTTCATCTCAGAGCTTAAACTAAACTCTTCAGATTGATAGCAAAATAGGCTAAATTCAGATGAAAATGCATTCGTATGCACTGACTTCTTTACCACGTGCCCTTAATATTAATACTCACAAACTAACCATCATTAGTCTCTAGTGTTTCTTAGGCTTTATCTTGTAGGATCCAATTTTCGATCTAGTTCAGACCGTATAGATAGATTTATAAGCAAAGTTCAACAATAGAGTCCCAGGAGTGCGAACACACGAGTGACCCTCAGCTGACTAATCATAAAAATGAGGAATGTTTGTTCAAAAAAATGATGTATATTGACAAGATAATGCTTGAAAACGCATTAAACAGGTTATCTTTGTCTGAAATGGTTTAGAATTATGTCCTAGTTATAATGAAGAGTATCAGTTTCTAAGTTAGACTAGTTTCTATACATGTAGTTATCGAGATGACTAAAAATAAGCTGTTTTTGTGAATCCTTTATCTCCCCCATCCTGCTTGCAGTCTTCCAAAAAAGCCCTCGGTTCAATTATTATGGTTTCCAGCAAGAGGATAGACGACTACTTACCAGGAAAACGTGGATAATAAAACAAATTAAAATAAATGACATCAACTATAAATCTGTCCCTAATCACAACCAAGCTTAATTTTGATCCTAACACTAACCCTAACTCCAATACTTACCTTAACCCTAATCCTTACCCTAACGAGCAATTAACACATTGTCCAAACAGTACTTAAAACGTGATCTGAGTGAAATTTTCTCCTAAGTTGGTGAATAACGTTGATATTACAGCTATGATAATGACAGATGCCGTTAGCCAACGACTAGCATGCGTTCAGTGTCATTGGAGCGTTCTCACTCCTGGGACGCTATTGTTGAACTTCGCCGATTTATAAATTCTCCTATTTTAATTCCTTGAAATGTTGATTTAGTTCTTAGAAAAAACTAATAAAACCATTGGATTCTGTTATTTACTGGCGTGTTTGTGTTAACTTTCCTTGTTTTTAATCTTCTCTAGGATATCTCAAAAGAATGCGATTTTGCGAGTTCTTCGGCCGATATTTTTGTTGTGTTTGTCATTCGAATACACTGATGACACTTCCTGGAAACTTATTAACTTCTTGGGATTTTCGTATGTTACCAGTTAGCAATTTCGCACGTGATCGACTTCATCAATTACACAACCAACCTTTATTGAGGACAATTGATTTTAATAAACAAGTTTTAAATCGCCAATCTAGTCTGATCGATTGTTTGACACTACGTAGGCAAGGGAATTTAATGTTACCTTTTATTCGACGATGTCAAGCAGGTATTTACATTATTTTTACAAAATGTATTATCTTTTCTATTTCGTCTTCATATTGGGAGGACTGTTGTACACCGTGTATACTAATCAATGGGTTTTTTTTTGTTTAACCAATAAAGCTATAGAAGCTGAAGTTTCTGTAAAATAACCAGACTTCAATTATTATAATAAAGATTGAACGAGAATCAGCTGTAGGTTTAAATTCTATTGGGTCGTAAGTTTTCATCATTTCACCTTCAGTCTTCATCCATTAGACTACAAACTCAGGCTAGTAATATTAAGTTGTTGCAAGGATTCATTACACTCAAACTTAATAGATGATTTCTAGAGACTAATTTTTCTGTCATCTTTCAAAATATACCGATTTGTTTTTACTCATGCTGTGACGACAGAAGACAAGGGTCAGGCAACAGATCGTCTATTGAGGAAATCAAGAGATTTGTATATATTTTTATGTACATTATTATTCGTTATTATTAGCAAAGAAACAGCGTCTTCTGATTGATTGTTTTCTCGCTGAAAGTTATTCTGTCATCTCTTTGTGACCATTTCTTTGAATGTCAGACCATACGGTCTGCGAATCGTATCCGCCCACGCAAAGTCTGCTGTTATTGGTTGTTGAGTTCGCCTTTGTTCTTGTTTTTTCTCATGACCAAAATTTGAAACGTAAACACTGACGTAAATTGCTATCTACCCATTTTGGCCAGCAGACAGCTCTCACCACAATATTTGCTCTACTCAAAGCGAATCATAGTGATGTTTCAACTATCTTTGAGATATATTGCATAATCATATGTTTATAGTGGAATTCTCTGAGTTTTTAATTATTACAGCCGAAATAGTTTTATGATATGCAGCATTGTTTGCTAAGAAACAATCAGCATGAGTACATACTCTAGTTTTGTGATTCCTTTTCGTTTTATTTAACTAATTTACGGTCGGTACTGAGAACTATTAAATCTACTAAATGAACTGCTTTGGTAATATATATATATATATATATATATATATATATATATATATATATATATATAAGAACAGAAGACAAGGGCCGGGCAACAGATCGTTTACTAAGGAAATCATCACGTACCCATATATTTTCATGTACATTATTATAGCTTATTCAAGCAAACAAACAGTCTTCTGATTGGTTGTTTCTCACAGAAAGTTGACCTTGCATCTCTTTGTGACTGTTTCTTGAATGTCAGGTCATCCATATGTTAACTGTATCTGCCTACTCAAAGTCTGCTGTGATTGGTTGTTGAATCAGTCTTGTTCATATTTTCTCATGACCAATATTTGCGACGCAAACATTGACGTAAATAATTGTCTACCAAATTGGCCAGCAGGTCTGCTCTCACCATATATATATATATATATATTATTCTTGGTGTGCGCCAGTGGTAGAATGCGCCTCATTTGGTTCAAGGTTTGATCTCCAGCCGATGCACTCCTTTATGTCGCTAAACCACTAACAAGACTGGTTAACAGGGAGGGTTAGGCATGAGGCTAACAAACCCATCCCGTAGAAATAAACACCACTGCCACTAAAACTTCAGAGTTCTATCTGGAAGACCTGTGTTCTACTGGCAACGTAAAGGAATAAAATAAAAATAAATAATAATCCTATTCTTAAAGGAGAGGCTCTTTGTCAGAAGGATTGTCAGTCGTGTTATTCAGATCCACTCCAGCTAATTAACACTAAACACCTGGGAAGTTCTGTCAGTTGTAATAATAGATATAATGTTACAAATTTGTATTTCATAACTGATAACCTTGGTGTCTGTTCGGTATACTCAAATGTCTACTTCATATATTTATTTATAGCTGATACTTGGGATATTATTTGTAACATATATTGTGGTGAGAGCAGGCTGCTAGCCAATTGGTAGACATTAATTCCGTCAATGTCTAGGTCACTAATATTGGCCGTGAGAAAATATGAACAAGGCTGATTCAACAACCAATCACAGCAGACTTGACGTGGGCAATTGAGATTCGCAGATATATGGCTCAACTTTCCGAGAAACCAGAAACAGCCAATCAGAAGACTGTGTTTGTCTGTTTGAATAAGCTGTAATAATGTACATGAAATATATACATATATATAAATACGTGCTGATTTCCGTAATAAAACGATCTGTTGTCTTCTGTTGTTACAATATTACCAGTAAGAAATAAATCCAATTCTTTTATTGTTTTACATAATTTGAACTTCGTTATTTTTTTTACTTTTAAGCTCAACAGCTGATGGAGTTTGAACTTATACCAAGTCATTGGCTTGAAACACCAGATTTATGGAGTATGGCTGATCTACACGCCTTACATGATGGGAAAATGTCAACGACTATACGTACAGTATTATTACCAATTGTAGAACACATACCAATATGTGAAAGATGTTTAGCTCAAGGCTTTATCTGTGAAGTCTGCAAATCTGGTCAAATTCTTTTCCCATTCGGTCAAGTGAACACAGTCACTTGTCCAACTTGTTCAGCTTGTTTCCATCGTGTGTGTTTACCTACACCTAAACCAGAAATATGCCCTAGATGTATCAGACGTGCAGCTAAACGAGAACAACTAACATGAGAATAGTTGTGTTAATTGCATAAATAGGCATTTTTGTGTTGAACATATGCATACATACATACATAAATACATCCTCTTACTTCCTTTTTCTCATATTCATTCCAAACTTGTGTTTTTTTAAACAGCTTTATTCAAATTAACCAGCATATCAATCACGTAGTCAATCAGAGGTGGTGATATTGATCTCTTTTTGCTGTCTTAACAAATCACATTGTTCTCTCTTTACTCCATTCACTATTTTATATCTGAACAATAAATAAACACAAGGAAAACACTGTAATAATAGTACAGTAATTGTGTAAAATTTTCATACATTGCATTGATCTCTCTCGACACTTTGTCCCCAGTTCTTTCAATTTCGAATGTCGACGAAAATGAATTATTATTATTATTATTTCTTCAGCATACTTTCTGGTTTTTTCATCCTATTATACTACAATTGTATTTTAATTAATTTCAGCATTTCACATTATAAACACAGCAACACATTCATTGATTTCTATCATCACTCTTTTATGTCTTTCTAAATACCCACTATTATTATATATATGATGCTGAAATACGATTTTATTTTTGTTATGGAATTTGATACACTATGCCAGTCACTTTTATTTTATTTTTTTGACAAATATACAATAAAGTTTATATCCCTTGTGTTTGAGTGTTGTGACTTGTTTGTTTGTCTTCTAACTCAGCAGAAGAGGTATCATATTTGTGTTTATACTTGAGAATCTATCTATCTGATTACCTTCTTTTATTTTGTATTTATTGATTTAGCACCAACTGTGTAATTATGACTTTCTATATAATTACTGTTCTACTAGCAAAATTATCACATTTGTAAGGATTTGAGTACCAGTGCGATATCTAATACTGTGGGTGTAGTTTTATTATGAAGTTTAGTCAGCCTACCTTTGATTAATAATATAGTATTCAGGTTCTCAGAATAGATTGTTAGACTTATAGTCGTCGTATTCCGACTGACTGGTTTCAACATAGAACTTTGCACCGATGTCCAGCAGCACTTCGAGTCGCCACACCCCGTGTAACGCAAAAAGCAATAGAAGAAATTAAAAAGAAATTCGAAACAGAGATATGAGGCAAAAAGAATAGTAATATTGAAGATCCATATTGCAGGGAGTGGATGCTTCCGCGTCATTGACAACGATTTTGATCCATATCACTGATTGTCTCTAGCCACTGGTTCTTACTATCTCGAGGACACCAACCAGGAAGCCAGTCTACACCTACCTACATGGCTGGCTGGCTTAAACTAACTGTTGTGGATTTCGTTGACCAATGAGGCCATGTTTTGGTTTGAACACCACTACCGACTCTTTTCCAACCTGACCCTATGTCAGCTAACACTGCCCGTCAGTCGAGGAAGGCGATGGCTAAAGATGCGTAACAAATGTGTTAACCATCTCAGTCGATGTAACTTCACAGTCTCGTCTATAGATTTCCCCTCCCACCCACCTAACACTCAACCGAAGCCCAACCTCAATATTGTTCACCCTATAATACCACTTGACACTGGAGACAGAACGCCGGGACCTATAATCAAATGCAACTAACTGGCCTTTTCATATCTCCCACTGTCAATGGCCAGGTCTCATTCACAGGCATAAAGGAGGACGGAGCGGACTTCTGAGCAGCACACATGCCCTTTGGTCGACAGTCAGCCGGATATCGCGTCTACTAAGCCAGGGACGGCGTAAACTGGCATATGCGGAACTAGCCCTCTTTATTCGTGCTAAGAGTTGGTCAGCGATCAACCCGTTGGGGCTGGCTGATGCAACTTCCCAAATAAGTGAAATGGTCAACGTGGTCTACCACTTCACTGCCTATTTCTAGGTTAGGAGTAGTCGACGTATTCCAGTCCTGTAGTATCATGTTACATTTGACATAGGGAGCGAATCGCATGGTAAACATTCGAAGATTGCAGCTCAAGGTGTTCAGAAGACTCTGTTCTGTTTTTCCAGCCTCCTCTCCTAGGAAGGAGGACTATATCATCTGCATATTCTAAGTCAACAAGATTATTTCCTGATAACAGGTCATTCCTTGAGTCGCTAAAGTCATCAGTTAGGGTTAGTTGCATTAGTACATTTATGATAAAATTCAACAGAAATTGGGACAGTAGGCATTTCTGACGAACACCACTAGTTGTCACCACTTCAGATGACAGCTCCCCTTAAACTCTTACCTGGCTGACTGCATGAGTTCTAGTAGAGTGAGTGCCTTGATTGGTGCAATGTATTTCTCGGAATTCTCTTCACAGCCAAACATCGCCATTGTTCTACTTCGGTCGACAGAATTGAATGACATCTTTAGATCAAGAAATATGGTGATTGTTGGACGCCAGTAAGTATGTCTATGTTCCAGACTCTTTCGAGTTGTGAAGATATGATCAATGCACCCTCTTCCTGGTCTAAAGCCTGTCTGGTTCTCTCGTGTTTGTTGCTCCCGTGGACCGCTTCGTTCACGCATCATTATTGAGCTTAGAACTTTAGATATCACATTGGTTAAACTAATCACACTGTGATTATCACAAGAAGACTTGTCTCCCTTCTTGTACATCGGGATTGTCAATGACTTGCACCAACCCGACGGGACTTCCTCTGATTCCCAGATGCTGCCTAGTACCTTAGTTAACGCTGACAGTAGACTGTCTCCACCGTACTTAAACACCTGTGCAGTCATTCCATTGGGTCCCACAGCTTTTCCTCATTTCAGGCTAGTGACAGCCTTAGTAACCTCATTTAAGTACGGAGGACCTGTGTAAATATCCCATTCAGGGAGGTGTTGGATGTTCGTTAGGTTGAGCGTGGCTGTAGACCAATTGAATTGCTCCTCAAAGTGTCCCTTCCAACGTTCTAGTCGTCTATCGTGTGAGCTAATTATGGTGCCATTTTTCTCAGAGACTGTTTCACTTATGGTTTGCCTTTTACCACTTGTTTCCCTGAGAAGCTGTCAGGTGTTCCCGATCGTGTTCACCTTTTCTATCTCTTTCCCTCTTGTCGGTCACCACTGTTAGCGGTCGTTACGAAGGCTTTTTGTTTGAGTAGCTTTCGCTTCTCATCATAGTCGGAGCTCACCAGAATCAGTCTTCTTGCGTCAATCAGTCGGGATGAGGTAAAAATCCACTGGCTCTTACTAGTTTTAAGTTTCAGATTATTACTAGCTTTTATCAGCTGTGTCTACTGCTAACTGTATGTTTCTGCCAGGCTTTCTGAGGAGGAGTCTTCCTGTCCATGTGAGATACTTGTTTCGTTATTTCTTCCTTGAATAGGTACTGAGAGTTTCGATCTAGTTGAGGACGTAACTGCCTAACAATTTCTTACGTCCGTTTTGACGTGATTGGAGTCTACTCACGTATTCTAGAAGGAGCAGGAGTCTCTTACTGACTGTCGCCAACGATACCCTAACGCTATGTGGTCTATCTGAGTCCAGCGTTGATTTGGGAGTGGAGCACACTAGGTTAGGCAATGTCTCTCTTTGTGCCTAGGGATAGTGCTGACTAGAAAACATGATTATCAGAACAGAACTGTAGAAGACGATCACCGTTGTCTGTTCGTCGTCAGGGAACTCTATACGTACCACCTACATACTTCTCAGTCTGGCCGAACATGCCTACTTGGGCAGTGAAGTCGCCTGCGTAAACAACTATGTCTGGAAGTGTTGCTTTCCGTGACAAATTAGACAGTTTCTGGCAGAGGTCATCCTTTAGTTCATCGGAACTGCAGTCTGTTGGGGTGAAAGCGGAGACTATGAAAAATCAACGATGGGTAACATCGTCTTTTCTTCTTCTAACTGACCCGTTCAGACGGATTCCACACATACGACTATCTAGTAGGATCCAGTCAATAAGGGATCTTTCTGACGTAACACTCGATGCTATCCCTACACCTGCGAGTCCTCGTGACCTAGCTGAGGATTCTCCTGACACCCTTTTAGTGAATTTTTCAGATTCACCTTGTTGGTCGGGTGAGGTTAAGTGAATCACCACACTCAGATCTTGTACGTGTGTTTCCAAAACACAACATACATGCATGGTTGGAGATTCCAGAGTTCTTGGTAGTGATGCCTGTTGTCCGATTTGTCGGAGGGTCATGACGTTGAATGCTCCAATATGAAACCGGTGGCATGGCTTTAAGAGGCTGTCAGTCGGGGGTGTTTCTATGGCTCTCATCGTTATTTGTGGTCACAGAGTGAAGTGAAAATGACTCACTAGCCTGAAGAATAGTACAGACTGTAGTAGGGGAGTAAGATGACGAAGGTGATGTGGGTAAAGGAGAATGATGATGAGGAAGGCTTGGTGTGATTTTGGAAGTGTGTGGGTGGTTGTTACTTCCCGACTGCCTACACCGTGGACGTTGATTGAGTCTACGGGTACTTGAAACAGAAAGAGTGTTAGTGTTGCGTGACCTCTGAACCCAGGGTTCAAGTGATCAAGGCCAGTGACACACGGCTTGTATGAACTGGTTTCTTGGATTGGTTCTGTATTAGCGAATTTACCACCGGTTACGGACCACCGTAGGGTTAGTCGGGATGTACAATTGTTTAGGTGAACCTTTTCTAACCTCCTCTCTCCAGAGTGGAGAGACCGTATGGTTGGCATGTTGGTTGTCTGCTGTTACACCCCTGTTCCCCAGTAGTACGACTTCATCCACAGATCCCAGCATAGTGTACAAGCAGAATTGTTACACAATGCTGACAGCTGCTTTCAGTCTAATCGCTATCCTAACAACCTTTCTGGCATGGTAGGACCTGCAGGAAGAATAGTTCCAGCCAGTGTAGCTTGTTGGGTTATTGTGATATACAAGCCAGATCACCACGTCAACGCAGCAGCTATCAGTCGAGGTCATCAAATTTAGTAGATTGTAGTACTTTTGTAACAGGTTATTCCTTAGTCTAATAACAACTGTAGATTCACGAATACATGTTCACTAGGCAGTGTGGATTCCAAAGATATTAGAGATTGACTGTAGGAGTTAAACATA